GGCTTCGATTGGCAAAGGTTAAAAAGCCATCTGATAAAAAATACATAAACACTAGAGAATTAATGAGAGATGAAGAGCTTATATCTACATACAGTATGCACATCAACGAGAATTTGAGAAATACAAGGAAATTGCATAGAGGAAACCTGTGAGAAAATAAAAATAGCTATAGTCGAGGCTGACGAAGTAGTCGCAAGTAAAATAAAAAGAAGGACACAAACGAGTGGATGCCGAAAGAGATACTTGATCTAATGAAGCAACCCAGACAGTACAAAATACATCAGAATCAACAGAAATGCAAGGAAATCCAACAGACGATAAGGTCAAGAATTAAAAACGCAAAGGAAAGCTGGACGAAAGAACGTTGTGAAGAATTGGAATCACTACAAGAAAAGGGAGACAGCTTTGGACTACATAAAAAGGTCAAAGAAATTTCGAGTATATACAAGAAACAACATGAGACTTGCAATCTTTCCTTCAATCTCCGCTACAGGATGGTTAAATGCTATGTATGGTCCGTATTGTTATACGGCGTGGAAACATGGACGTTAAGAGTACCTTTCATTAATAAGTTGAAGGCCTTCGAAATGTGGACGTTGCGAAGAACGTTCCGCATACCATGTACAGACAGAGTGAGAAAGGAGGAAGTCTTAAGAAAGGCAAATACTAAGAAAGAACTACTCAATTTGATCAAGGTACGAAAAATTTGATACCTTGGCCATATTCTGAGAGGAAAAAAATACGCAATACGCAATCTCTCAACTAATCATCCAGGGAAAGATTGAAGCCAAGAGAGGAGTAGGTCGCAAACAAATGTCGTGGCTACGGAAAATAAAGAACTCTTCTTCTTCTTCAGGTGCCATCTCCGCTACGGAGGTTGGCAATCATCATAGCTATCTTAATTTTTGAGGCAGTAGCTCTAAATAGTTGTTTTGAGCTGCATCCAAACCATTCTCTCAGGTTCTTCAGCCATGAAATTCGTCTTCTTTCGATGCTTCTTCTGCCATCTATTTTTCCTTGCATTATGAGTCGCAGGATGCCATACTTATCGCCCCGCATCACATGTCCGAGATACTGTAGCTTTCTTTCTTTAATTGTAAGTTCAATTTCCTTCTCTTTGCCTATTCTTCTCATTATTTCATTGTTTGTAACACTATCTACCCAGGAAACCCTCATAATTCTTCTATAGGTCCACATTTCAAAGGCGTTAAGTCGTCTCATGGTATCTAGATTTAACGTCCATGATTCCACTCCATAATATAGTACACTGTATACGTAATAAAAATAAAGAATTGGACAGGCATAAATAACACTGGCGATCTTTTGTATGCTACAAAATACAGACGTCTGGCCTTAAAATAATTCGCCAACGCACTATAGGTGCACGGCAATATAAGAAGAGAAAGTAGAAAGAAGATTTTCAGCACAGAAACAATTATTATCAGATAGACGGCACAGATTTTCTGTAGAAAATTTAGAGAAACATGTAATAATATGTAATATTAATAATAATATATAGTTTTAACTGTAATAATAGTACTATAATAAAGAATGATAACGATGATGATGAATGAAAGAATAAATTAATATAATAAGGTAGATAATACAAATTTCAATAAAAATTTTTGATGACTTTAGCATAAAATAAATACCATCGATACAAGTATTACTGCGTTTTTCATTTATATGCACTAAATGCATAAAATAATAAGAAGCATATTTTAGTGCATATTTCAACTGTTTTTGGGCTTATTTGCATGCATATTTTAGGGTTTTTAAGTGCATATTTCTTGAGCTCTACGTGATAACAGTAGAAGAATATTTGTAATAAATACCGGTGCCACTAATGAATAGGATATTCGATACTGAAGGAGAAAAAAATTCACAAAGTATTAGCAAACTAATAAGACAATTTCTGGAATACTATAGCGTATTTTTATGTATGAGAGAGTAATAAAACAATAAATTATGTATGCAAATCCCTAAACTGTTGATACGGGTGACTCAATGAAAAACATATTTGTCAACAAGTTTACAGAAGTATATAGGAAAACAATTTTAAATTGAGTATGACCACCAGGTATAAAGGTTGGAGCAGAATAGAATACAATAGTTGTGAGGGTTACTAATCCCTAAATAAGGTTGCCAGTGTCGGAGTGATGGAGGTTAACAGGTACTAATGAATTTGCAAGAAATGTAAGATGTTTATTTTATTGGTTATATATAACCAATAAAAGTTTAATAAGTACCTACCTATTTGCAAAATAAAGTTTAATTCTTTAGATAAAATAAAACGTTTTATTTTATCTGAAATGAGTGCATTCCACGAAGTAAGGGTCAAACAACAAAAAACAATCAAACATTTAATTCTTTAATTCCAGGAATCTACGACAGTAATTGACTAGATAATTACCTTCTAAACTTATTCCACAGAAAATGTGATAGTGGGTTTTTCCATTTTGTAGGAAGGTCCAAGTGGCGTATTCAAAATTCTTAACAGTTCACTAAAAGTAGGTACTTCAGTTGCAAGGTGCAGTTTATTGTGTATACTAGTGTTATGGAAAATTTGGAAGTGCCGTGTAAACGCCGAAAAATTGGTCCTTTAACAGTTAATGAAAAAACATTAATATTTAATTGTTTTAAATTATTTACAGACAAACGTTTATGTGAAAGTGTTGATGAGACCGTTGAGTTAGTTAGCAGTACACTTGGTGTTGAAAAATCTACGATTTACAGAGTTATTAAAGAAGAGAAATGTGGTAGTTTTCAAATGCCACGTAATGCTCCAGGGAAACCAAAATTTCAAATAGAATATCATTTTAAATAATGACTTCGACGGAAAGTGCATGAATTCTTCTTTAGACAAGCATCCCCAACATTGGATAAAGTTCTTGTCTCAGTTCGAGATGATAACGATTACCCAGAAATGAGTCGAAGTACGTTATGGAAACTTTTAAAAGAAATAGGCTTCCGCTGGAAAAAGAATCCCAGAAAGTCTATTTTATTAGAAAGAAGCGATATTGTCATATGGAGAAGACATTTTCTAAGATCAATAAAGGAAATGAGAAACCAAAAAAGAAAAATATTTTATCTTGATGAAACATGGATCAACGAGGGTCATACACCAAATAAATTTTGGCAGGATGAAACTGTTACAAGTCAAAGGCACGCTTTTGTAAATAACTTATCTACTGGTTTAAACCCACCATCAGGAAAGGGACGCAGGCTGATAATAGTACACATTGGCAGTTCAGAGGGTTTTGTTGAAGGTGGTTTATTAACTTTTGAATCAACTCGTACCGGTGACTACCATGAAGACATGAATGCTGATGTCTTTCAAGAATGGTTCGAACAAATGATAGATCTTCTTCCTAAGAACTGTGTAATAGTAATGGATAATGCAAGTTATCACTCCAGACTTATAGAAGGACTGCCCACAACCAAGTGGTAAAAAAAAAGACTTGCAGAATTGGCTGAGTTCAAAAAATATTACGTACCATCCCGGATCTATAAGAAATGAACTTTATTCGTTGTGTGCCCTTCATAAAGAAAAATTTAAAAAATACGAAATTGATGAAATTGCCAAAAATCGTGAAATGACAGTACTTAGATCCCCACCATATCATTGTGAATTAAACCCGATTGAACTGGTATGGGCACAGATAAAGAGTGAAGTTTCAAGAAAAAATACCACTTTTAAAATTCATGATGTTAAACAGTTGTTTTTGGAGGCCGTAAATAATGTAAAACCTGAAAACTGGGAAAAGGCAGTAAATCACACTATTAAAGAAGAGGAAAAAATGTGGAAGCTGGACAATATTACTGATAAAATGATCGAGCCAGTTATTCTAAATCTTGGTTCTGAAAGTTCATCTTCTGAATCTGATTTGGATTTGTAACAAGTCGCTGTAAGTTTTATATTAATATTTTTATTCATCTATTTAACATACCTTAGACGGTTTTAAAAACTCTTTTTCTCTTTTGTAATTTTTAAAAATTAAAAAAAAATGTGAATTTTTTAAAACCCTTTTTAATGTAGGCCAGTCAGTTCTAATAAAGTGTGTGACAAAAGAGGTCATTTTTGTTTACATACACATAACACTTTATAACACTGATATAATTCATTTATTTTTTACAATTATTCAAAGTAATTTTTCAATTAATCTTGAGCACGCCCATGGAGTGGCCGGAGGTACCAGTTAAAATTATGCTAATTACTCTCTCGTTCATAAAAATAAACTATAAGAGATAAAAGTTTTAGTCTTGTGGACAATAACACCTGAGACAAAAATAGGATAAATTATGAAGAGAAGGGGATTGGATAACAAATATATACTACTACCCTACTTTTCAATTAATCCTATTAATTAATCAGATTAAAGTTTTTATATAATAAAAAGTATCTAGTAGGTACACTTGTAAAGACGCCTTTGTTATAATGAAAAAATTGGAGGGACAAGGGATATGTAAGATGAAAAATCATTTATATACATATTATAATATACACACGTTCACTACAGCATAACAATTATTAAGGAATGAAGTCTGGTTTGTTTCATATTATAGGCCCTTTAGAATAATGTAGAAGAGGTAAGTTTAATAGTCTATGTACCTAGTATTTTCAGTGAACCTCTTTTATCAACACTTTTTCAAGTCTAGTCAAAAATGTCTATTTATTTAAAAAAAATGTCTTAAAAATAATTTTTGTCCAGTTAAAATTTTTATATATAATATACATTGTTACATAAATTTTGTCCCTGAAACCTGTCCAATCGTCAAAAGTATGTTTTGTATCACGAAATTGGCTAGTGATACGATTTCCCCAACCTTAATCCAAATATCTTAGAACTAGTTGCCAGATAAGAATTATATTTATCTATTTAAAACATTATTTTGCAATTAGACATACCCTTAACGACGTTACAGAAATAACTAGAAAACTAAAACTGACAAACACTCAAACGCACACAGTAGGGCAAAATGGCACTAACACTACTCACTTTCTTTTAGTTCATGACATGCAGGACACTTCAGTATAACGATAACTGCGTTATGCGTTTTATCAGGAAATTCACGTGCACTGCACTGCACGACGTTTCGGCTCGATGCTCGATCACTGGTAGGAAATGTTCGTGCCCGTAATTACAGGAGGTGTGTTGTATTTCGGTAGGAAAATACTTGTGCAGTGTTGCCGGTTCGTGAAAAATTGTTGTAACTTCGTTGCTTTAAGGATTAGTTGACGATATCGGTAAAATAAAACGAAAACTAGAAATGAGAAATCACCCTTTTCTTTTTTGAAGTTACACTTCTATACGCACGGTCAACGTTGGAAATTTGCATAGGAGTAAATCTGTGAAACCATTACATACATGTAAGATAATGAGTAAGAGGGATACAGAAGATATATTTTCTCTATCTTCCTCTCTCGAGAATAAAAATGTTCCTTTTGTATATATATATATATATATATATATATATATATATATATATATATATATATATATATATATATATAAATAGAGTGTGTATAACGACGCTAAGAATACAATTCTTTGGAGGGTAACTTTCGGGAAAGCGTCAAAACAAGGATCAGCTAGAGACGGTATAAACCAGTTTGGTGTAGAACTTTATTCGAAATGTGAAATTTTCGGTGATATGTTGTCACCTTCATCAGCACCTAAATGGAAAACCTATTTTAGTACCAGTGGTGGAAATCAACATTTAAAACCTACATTGAAAATGTTCAGTTAGTCCTAGTGGTGAAGAACACTGTCACAAACATGTTAAAAATATTAAAAAATACATTTAAAATTTTGAATAAAAACATTACAACACACAGGGTATTATTTCAAATACAAACACAACAAAAAATCTAAAAATTACAACCTACAAAAGGTAGAAAGGTAAAAAAGGTAGAAGAAAGGTAGAAAAGAAGAATTATTCTTCTTTTTTGATGACATGTTTCTGATTTCTGTCAATATCCGGGTGTCATATGTAACGAGGTTATAATTTTCACATTTGAACCTCATGGATATGAAAAGAAAGAACCCAAGGAAACACAATCAGCAGGGAAATGAAGTCTTTTCTCAAGTACAGGTAGGCAATCTATGTATGCTATGATAAGTTCCCTACATTCTCCAGTTTGTTACATCTTGTCAAGTCCTGTTGAAGTAGAAAGGAATAAATACAACTTAAGTTTTCAACATCTTTCTTACAGTTCATAGAAGAACTGCAGTTATGGATGTAGCACATTTCTATGAAGTTTCTCTTAAACTGGTTGTCAACCCTAGTCAAGTTTAGTACTTGCACATTTTCATAGTTAGCAATGTGTCCAGTATTCTTAATATGTTGGCTAAAGGCTGTGCTGGTGGGATTCCTCACTACATCACTCTTGTGCAAAGCTATTCTTTTTGAGAGTTTCTGGCTGGTTTGACCGACATACACTTCTGAACAGGAACCACATTGACTATAATACACTACATTGAAGTTATCCAGTTTTTTAACTCTTTCTGTCAGGTGAGTAAAGTATGTCCCTAATCTTTTGTACACTGAATTTGCTATCACTATGTTGAACTGTCTGAAAAGGTTTGTGATCTGTGGTGATAAACCTCTGATGTAAGGCAATCTCCCATGGAAAACTTCTACTGTTTCTCCTTCTAATGTTTGTCTTTGGTGTGTTCTAACTGTTGGCATATCTTGGAATAGCAATTTATTAAGAAGCATCTTAGGGTAGTGATTTTTTCTAAGAATCTCATACAATAACTTGATGTTCTTATTGTAATTAGAAGGGTGACAAATTCTTTTTATTCTGTTTTTCAGACCTTTGATGATGTTAATCTTCTGTTCGTCTGGATGATACGAGTGAAAAGGCACATATCTACCTGAGAATGTTTTCTTTCTGTACCAATCCAACCTTACTGTGTTGTCCTCATGTCTGGTTACATAGGTGTCGAGGAATGGAACACTATTATTTTCTTCTGTTGCAACAGTGAATTGTAGGTGAGTGTTATATGAGTTGAAAATGTCAAGAGTGTAGTTGATTTTATCTGCAGGGACTGCACATATGAGGTCGTCTACATATTGGTAAATGAAGAGGAACTGGAAATCAACTTTTTGAGTACAGTAGTGAAGTAGGGAGTTCATTACAATTTCTGCTAAAGTTGGGGATATAGCTCCACCCATGGGTGCTCCTTTTATTTGGACATAGAATTCATTTTGAAAAGTGAAATATGTATTGTTATATAAAAAGGTAATCAGTTTCAGGAACAAAACTTTGGGAATATCACCGAAAATTTCACATTTCGAATAAAGTTCTACACCAAACTGGCTTATACCATCTCTAGCTGATCCTTGTTTTGACGCTTTCCCGAAAGTTACCCTCCAAAGAATTATATATATATATATATATATATATATATATATATATTTACTATTATATATAATATTATATATATAATATAATATGTATTAATATTATTATTTATGTGATATGTTTTGTATTATTTAGTCAACGTTTATAATTATTTTAGACTTTTGTATTTCAAAATAATCTCTGTTTGACCGAGAACTGTCAATTTTGAAATCCGTTAGTGTCATGTCTAATTGGCAAATCCTTTACTTGTTTGGTTCATACGCTGGTGTTTGTGAGTTCGAATCCAAATATGAATTTCCTTTTTTACTTGAAATATTTAAAAACATCACGTTAATCGTATTAAATATATGTAATATACGCAAAAATTCTAAATTTCAAAATAAAATGAAAATTTACAACATAATCCGAGTTGCTGGTTTTTTATTTTTATCTTCGTAAAGTAAGTTATGTATATTGGAAGTTTTAAATACTTATGAATATTGCATTTTAATTTATATTATATTATTATACTGAACTATGTTACAGTGTATTTATTGTATTGTAATTTTTATATTAATAACAAAATAAACAATGAATTTTATTGCAGAGTATCTGTAATTTTTTTTTTGCATTCAACTCCTTTTATACATATGAAAATAAAAAAATATATTTTTATTAAAATATTGATACAATCCTTCATTTACTATACTCCTATTACAGGTCTAATGTTTATATACAGCAAACGATGTACCATATACCTATATAACTAATTCCTTTTTTCTATCTGCTCTTTCTTACCTATAGTAACGATTGTTCAGATTGACTCCCATATAAATTTGTAACGGCGAACGCGTGTATAGAAGTATAACTTTTACCGGCAGTCCCACAGGACTGCTACACCCTTTTTTTATTAGATATTTCGTACGTAGTTCCGAAAGTTGTAGCCATGATGGAAAAATTGTTAAGCTTGTAATAGGCGTAATAGAGGTAGTATGGTTTGTTCTTTAACCAGGAGGAGTAATTAAAATTTACCGCGCCGTAATGCTTGTTTGTAATTGGTTCAACCACAGGCAAGTTTAATAAACGTTTTGTATTTTCTGCATTATTCCTTTAATTTTTAGATTTTTCGTTGGCATTTATATAAAAAACAGCTCCTTTCAGAACTATTTAGCGAACAATGCCTAGTTGTAATCCTTCTCTACGTAAAAAGCGCCGAGTAGATTTGCGATATTTATCATCAAATGAAAAACAATGCATTATACACATGTATAAACAAATAAAAATTGATAATCCTGGAATGAAAATAAAAGCTATGGTAGCAAAAGTAAAATAGGCAATAGGTTAGTTTTGCAGAATAGTTACTGTTAAAATCAAGACTTACTACCAAGACCAAAAGGTTATGATTAACCTGGTCAAAGGCCTTTCAGAAATCAGTGTACAGACCTAAATTTTATTTTCAAATGCACACAACAAGTATTGTTGGTAAATGACAAGATTTGTTACTGTTGACTTTCCGTTAGAAAATTCATGTTGCTTAGCAATAATTATGTTTCTGCAAGCCAGGTGAGTTTATATAGAGTTATATAGTTGTTAGCACACTCACGATTGGCAGATTTATAGATAGATGTAAGGAAGCTATTTTTCCAATATTGTGGAAATACAGATAATGACAATGATAAATTGAAAATTAAAAATTACAAATAGTTAAAGAATTACAAAAAGAATTACAAAGGGAAAAATACAGTATACCGTCAGTCCCTGAAGAATATGTAGTTTTTAAACTGATAATCCCCTCGAAAACATCAGTCAGACTAAACTTCAAAATCTAGAAATCCACAACATAGTCCAATTCAAAATTAGGTAAATTATACTAACTGAAAAATAACTCAAATAAATTGACTAAATTCATCACTATACTAAGCTATTTCGTCCCCCCCTTTATTAGACATTACATTAGGATAAGACTAGGTAACCTCTGCACGGGCGACATCACAATGAGGTCAGTCAAGATCATGTCGACAATATAGCGTCGAACTATTGGCTGACATTAGGACATATGTTTCCTGAAACAGTAGGTTCATTACTAGTCATTCCTGAAATTATCGTCATAAATTACCTGTAATATATCGTCAAGGCCCCTCAGGTCCAAAATGACAAATGCCGATGTGAATGTCAAGCTCAAGAAACCATCCAACATCTTATCGAGGATTGCCAGGCATTTGCTGCAATTGAATATAAGGAACGGCACGACTCAGTAGGAAAGATCCTTCATCAAGAGATAGACATCAAACTGGAATTTCTCCAAACAAACCATCTCCCATATTATCAATACCTAAGAGTATACTTGAGAATGACAACTACAAGATATATTGGGACCGCACTGTACTCACAGACCAAACAGTGGCACATAATAGACCCGATGTCATACTAGTAAATAAACTAAAGAGACAAACAACACTAATTGATGTGGCGGTACCCAACAACAATAATCTTCGTGTTAAATAGAACAAAAAGATCACCAAGTACAGGGATCTGGAAATTCAATTACAAAAACAGTGGAAATGGAAAGTACCCAGAAAATACTTGTTATTATCTCTGCTACTGAAATCATTACGAAGAACTTCCCCCCTAAAAACATAAAAAAGCTAGGTCTAAATGAACATCTATACAAGACCATGCAGAAAGCTGTGCTACTCTCAACGTCCGGATGTGTACGAACATTTTTGGGAGATACTCCAGCATACTAAGTCAAGTCACCTAGGGCTCGATAACACGGAAAGAGTCACACCAGAGCTCAATCCTTTTGATACCGTAGGTATCTGGGA